CTTGTGAGCAAAAAAATTCCGCTTTGTGAGCTGCTGGCGGTAAAGCTGAGAGCGAGCGATTCGGCTACTGCATAGATTAGTTGGCTCTGGAGCCCTCCTTCCTAAGCTAAGACAAAAACGGGTGAGCCAGAAGCTAAAAAACTGTGAGCTGGCTCACACTCACTCAGCTTAGAGAGAACACTGGCCACAACCTCTCCCCACACTCTTCTGTCTCCGCTGTGAAAGAACCCCTCTTCTACTGAATCCCGTTGCCCAGCCTCCCTTACTGGAACAGAAGGGCTTTAATTTTTCCTGAACGCATCGAAGCGGAGAGTTGCACATCAGGAGAAGGAAGAGGAGAAGAACAGAGGAAGTCGTAGCTGAATCGTCTTGGGCAACCTCAGGGCAGGGACAAGGAAAGTCTCTAGGTCAGGGGTGTCGAACTCATTGGTTATGAGGGCCGGATCTGACATAAATGAGAGCTTGTTGGGCTGGGCCAGGTGCGTCATAAAACGTAATGCCAGGTAGCGGAGATATACACTTTATAAAGGACCCAAGCACCAAGGGTTTGGGTTTTTTTTACTTAAAATAAAAACATGCTTAAAACATTGGCGCACTTGCCATATTTGTTTATCTAACAGGGTCTGATAACTGACACCTCTTTGCTCTGAATTACTGCGTCAAGATGTCCATACTGTTGCAATCTTGAGTATGCTGTTCAGGTGTGTATCTGTAAGCTGGCAAACCTACTTTTGATTTATTGACATTCACCACAGAAATCACATGCTCAGAGTTCTGAGTCTAGGACCCAGGGGAAAACATGAAATGGCTGAGCGATTGAGAGAGTCTGGTGAAGTAAGCTATGATGCAGCAGCAGGAACAGAACTGGAAGAAGATGGCTGGTTCCACTCCAGGCCTGATGGAAGCCCTCTGGGGGCCTGATCCGGCCCCCGGGCCACATGTTTGACATCCCTGCTTTATTGTGTCATCAGACAGCCTCTTAATGGGGGGGGGGGTGATAAACACAGAATGTTGTCATCCTGGATTTAGGGATCAGGTCGAGTTAATGGGGCTCTTAGAGAGACCAAGCGGTTTTCAGATCGTTGGGGACAGGGTCATTTCGTGACAGATAACAGGGAGCTGGGGCTGGCCTAAACACCAAAGCCAGTCCCAAACCACCCCCTGAGCAACAGGAGAGCACAGGGTACAGGGACTATTATAAGGCCCTCACGGGGCAATACCCCGTGCACTACCAGCTTTGCAGTCAAGAAGAAGAGATTGGATTTATACCCCGCCCTTCACTACCTAAAGGAGTCTCAGAGCGGCTTACAAACTCCTTTCCCTCCCCCTCCCCACCGCAGACACCCTGTGAGGTAAAAGAAGAAGAAAAAGAGATTGGATTTATACCCCGCCCTTCACTCCCCAAAGGAGTCTCAGAGTGGCTGACAAACTCCTTTCCCTTCCCCTCCCCACAACAGACATCCTGTGAGGTAAAAGAAGAAGAAGAGATTGGATTTATACCCCGCCCTTCACTACCTCCTGGGAGGTAAAAGAAGAAGAAGAAGAGATTGGATTTATACCCCGCCCTTCACTCCCCAAAGGAGTCTCAGAGCGGCTTACAAACACCTTTCCCTTCCCCTCCCCACAACAGACACCCTGGGAGGTAAAAGAAGAAGAAGAAGAGATTGGGTTCCCCTCCCCACAACAGGCACCCTGTGAGGTCGGTGGGGCTGAGAGAGCTCTGACAGAAACTGCTCTTTTTCAAGAACACCTCTGTCAGAACGATGGCTTACCCAAGGTCATGCAGCAGCTGCAAGTGGAGGAGTGGGGAATCAAACCCGGTTCTCCCGGATTAGAGATGTAACCACTACACCAAACTGGGTTTCAGAGCTGTGGTACAGGGGCAGAAATAAAGGAAGGGACAGATGGGGGGGGGGGGATAAAGGAGGAAAATGCAAACGTTTCCCAGTCAGCTCTCGCATGATTTCTAGAACTCAGCGTGCAACATTTTGTAAAACTTTAGTTCTGATGCAACAAAAAAATGTAAGCGAGACCCTGCTTCTCTCTCTCTCTCTGTCTGAGATAAGCATGAGTAAGAAGCAGTTGCTAGCAGTGTTCCCTCTAAGCTGAGTTAGTGTGGCTAGCTCACTGTTTTCTTAGCCTCCGGCTCACCCATTTTCGTCTTCGCTCTGGAAGGGATGGCTCCAGAGCAAACGAATTTATGCAGCAGCCAAATGGCTCGCTCACAACTTCCATGCCAGGCGCTCACCAAGTAGAATGTTTACTCACAAGACTCCACAGCTTAGAGGGAGCATTAGTTGCTGGGAGAGGAACAAAATTACCTCGCTTGCGTCAGGAGGGCTTTAGAGACGGGAGGAGCGTGTCCCCTTCCACTTCCCTACTTCCCTAAGGCACCCCGTTCTCTTGGCCCGTCCTCAAAGAATCTGGAAAGTTTTTCCAGCTGCTGCAGCAGCGCCCCCCCCCCCAGGCTGAACCCTTCTCAACAACATTCTCCGCTCTTGTTTCTCCCCCTTCCTTGGAAAATGCATTATCATCGTCACAGCTGACAGCCCATGCGAGGCAGAGGTTCCCCCACCACCGCCAGGATCCACGACCAGAGCAGTTCCTTGGAAGAGAGCCGGACACCAGAGCCCGATTCCAAATGATCCAGTGCCCAAGCCAGAGCAGAGAGAGTTCCAGTCTACCAGAGCTGAAGGAGACCTGGGCGGGCAGGGTGCCTCTTCTCCAACTGCTCCCTCTAAGCCGTGGAGTCTTGTGAGCAAAAAATTCGACTTGGTGAGCTGCCGGGCATTAAAGTTGCGGGCGAGCGATTTGTCTGCCGCGTCAATTCGCTTGCTCCCGAGCCGTCCCTTCCCGAGCCAAGACAAAAATGTGTGAGCTGGAGGCTAAAAAAGATGCGAGCTAGCTCACACCGACTCGGCTTAGAGGGAACATCGCTCTTCTTCCCCCCCCTCCTCCCCGTCCCTTTCAGCTGAGTCACTTCTGTCTTAAAGCCACAAACACCTGTTGGCCAGACAACCCATCGCCACCGATTGCTCGGGCTTCCTCACTTGCAGGAGATCCACGGGATCGCGCCCCCCGTCCCAGTGCCCCGCACTCTCCTCTCCATGCGGGCTCCCCTTCCCCTAGCGGCATCCCCCCGCATTCCCATTCCCTGCACGCACGCATGCATCTCCCCCAAGAAAAACACCCCACTTCTTCCTTACGGAGCAAACCGACCGCCTCTTGGAAAAGCGCAAACCAGCGTCGGACCAACCCGGGCGAAGCCGACCTCCGGAGTTCCCAGGCAGCTGCCTCCCCGCCAGAAGCCCCTCTGCCCAGAAACGGCGTTGCGAAGCCGGATTTGCAGGAGCCGCGCTCGTCTGCAAGCGCGGCTCGCCCTAAGATGACCCCTTTCCCCTCGGCTGCCCTCCCGAGCGCTCACCTGCCACCGCCCCAGAGCGCAGGCGAAGCCGACCGCCCGATTCGGCTGCGTTCGGCTCCTTCCTTCCTGCCTTCTTCGTTCGACTCCGCCCCCCGGGGGTGGTGCATCACAATCAGGACCCCGCCCACCACGGAACGCGAACCCGCCGCTAGCTCCGCCCCTGCGTGTACAGCATGCTGGGAATTGTAGGCTCATCTCTCTCTGTCGATCGCTGGTTTATTACAAAGGCACTTCAGGAATTGACTGGGAAGGGAAACTGCAAGGGTTGCCAGGTCTGGGGTGGGAAGGGCCTCAGCAAGGTAGAATGCCACAGAGTCCACCATTCAAAGCAGCCATTTTCTCCAGGGGAGCTGATCTGTCAGCTGGAGATCAGTTGTAAAAGCGGGAGATCTCCAGGCCCCACTTGGAGGCTGGCAACCCTAGAAACTGCTGAATTACAAGTGATGGCAACACTCAGGACAATGCCCCCCAGGACTTAACAAGGATATTGGTTTCTTATCTTACGACATATGTTAAATTCATTCAGTCCTTACAAGGCTTTTGGGGGGATGGGGAGAGGTGCTGGAACTCTCAAGAGGGAATTGTATGCTAACTTGCTGTTCAACCCCTGCCTTCTATGTATGGACTGCTAAGTCACATCTCACTGTGTCTAAGGAAGTGTGCATGCACGAAAGCTCATACCCAGAATAAAATTTTGTTGGTCTTAAAGGTGCCACCGGACTCGAACTTTGTTCTATCTATCTAAGTTAAATTCTGGGTCTAAGCTTTTGTGCGTTGCATGTTGTTGAGATCTGAAGAAGTGTGCGCACACACAAAATCGTAGCTAATTTATGGTGACCCCATAGGGTTTTCAAGGCAAAGGATTAAGAGAAGAAGAAGAGATTGGATGTATACCCCGCCCTTCACGCAGAGTTTCAGAGCGGCTTACAAACTCCTTTCCCTTCCCCTCCCCAAACCAGACCCCCTGTGAGGTAGGTGGGGCTGAGAGAGCTCTTTCCAGAACGGTCCTTGAGAGAACAGCTCTGACAGGACTCTCCCAAGGTCACCCAGCAGCTGCAAGTGGAGGAGTGGGGAATCAAACCCGGTTCTCCCAGATCAGAGTCCGAGTACTTAACCACTATGCCAAACAGAGGTGGTTTGTGGTTTCTTTCCTCTGCAAGGTCTCACTTGGTGGTTGCCCATCTAAATAGGGATGCCAACCTCCAGGTGGCACCTGGAGATCTCCTGCTATTATAAGTGATCTCCAGACAACCAAGATCAGTTCCCCTTGAGAAAATGGCTGCTTTGGAGGATGAATTCTGGGTATTGTATCCAAGCTGAGGTCCCTCCCCAGGCTCCAGCCCCTAAACCTCTAAGTATTTCCCAACCCAGAACTGGCAACCCTGCATACAAGTACTGACCCTGTTTCGCTTCCAAGCTCTGATGAGATTGGGCTATACTATTACTGTTACTATTACTATCTGTCTCATGTATCTGGGAGACCCAGGTTCGATTCCCCATCCCCACGTGCCACGGTAGCTTGCTGGGTGACCTTGGGCCAGTCACACACTCTCAGCCTAAACCTACCACCCAGGGTTGTTGTGAGGATAAAATGGAGGGGAGGAGAACGATGTAAGCTGCTTTGGGTCCCCATGGGGAATAAAAATGGAGTATAAATGAATTAAATAAATATTGTGTAGAATATATTTCCAGAGGGTAGCCATCTTGGTCTACAGTACAACAGCCAGATTCCATTCACAACTGAGAGACCAACAAGATTTTTTTTGGGGGGGTATGTGTATTATTGGGGCTGCGGTGGCTCAAGTGGTTAAGACACTGAACTGCAGACCAGAAGGTCGGTAGTTCAGCAGTTCCAGACCCGAGTGCCGCATGATGGAGTGAGCTCTGGTTCAAAGCAAGAAATTGCAAGTAGATAAATAGGTACCGCTTTGGTGGGAAGGTAACAGCATTCCGTGTGCCTCTGAGTCTAGTCATGCCGGCCACATGACCATGGAAACTTCCTCGGACAGTGCTGGCTGTTCGGCTTGGAAACTTGAGCACTGCATCCCTAGAATCGGATTCGACTGGCTTTCGAGCAAGGGAAACCTTTACCTTTATGTGTATTATAATGTAATGTATATGATGTACATTATAATGTACTGTATATGATATATTACATTATATAATATGTATAATATACATAATATATATTACAGATCTGCGCAGGTATATTACGTTACACATACACACACGCTTATAGTATTTGGTGGATACAATGGAGAGGGGGGGGCACGCTCGATTTGGTTTTGGCTTTGAAGAATTGCCTTCTCCACCTTACAAAATGCAATGGCGAAAACACTCAAGCGGCATCGACTTCACGCTGGTGCCTCATTAATGGGATTAATGAGGTGTGGGGGGGTACCCCATGCCTTGTTTCGAATGGGAAATCGGTGGTATATTCTGCTCCGTTCGAGGACACGGGGCAAAAGATCTAGCAAAGGGATTGGCTGGATCAGGGACACCCCGCAATCCGATTGGAGGACGCGAGTGGGATTAAGCCGTATCTGGGGGGGCGGGGGGCGGGGTTGTTGTGCTCATCCCGGTATTCGATTGGGCGATTTGCGGGCAGCCGCTCCTTGGATTGGGTGGCGTTTCGCTCAGTGGGGAGGGTGGATTCACTTTCTAATCAATTCAGCGCCGATTAATTAGAGCCGGTTCTGCCGGAGAGTGTGAATTGGAAGGCGGGGGTGGGGGTGCGGAATCTCAGTGGTTCGCGAGGTGTTTGTAGGCAGGGATGTCAATTTAGCTGTCTCTGATGAGCAGCGCAGGCAGAGAATGACAGAGAAGGAACTAATCCCAGGACACTTAGGGTGCAATCCTAAACTCGTCTGCTCAGAAGTAAACCCCATGTTATTGAATGTGGTTTGCTCCCAGGTAAGTATTTAGGACTGCAGCCTGAGTCAGCCACAGGAGACTTTGCTGGTTCAAATGCCATTTCCGATTGGATGGCCAAATTCACTGTCATAGAGGATATTATTACATTTTGAAATCAGAGGGGGAAATAACATACACTGCCCTTGAATGTTAAAGCCGCTTTGCAGGTGTTGTTTCCCTTTATTTAATTCACTGGAACCTCGCCTTTTGGGGACCCAACGTGGCTTACGTCACTCTCCCCGCCTTCGTTTTATCCTCACAACAACCCTGTGAGGTAGGGTATGCTGAGAGGGTGTGTGACTGGCCCAAGGTCACTCAGCGAGCTTCTGTGGCACAAGTGGGAGGATTCAAACTCGGGTCTCCCAGAAACTAATCTTCAACACTACACCACACTGGGGCCAGCAAGAGGCTGTTTATTTGCAGTATATTGATAGGGCTCCTCAGCCCTCGCCATTGTTTTCTTTATCTAACCGATTCTATGCTGCTTCTGAAACAGCTAACAAAGAAAAATAGGAGGACAATAATCTTATCGGTAAAACTGACAACAGTGAAAACAATTAACAGGCCCAAATGCTAATTGCCGCAGGAGTAACAATTTTGTCAATTAATGTATTCAGGTCCTGGTCACACGGGCCGGAAAATGCGGGGTGGTGGTGGTGGAGCGTGGCTGTTTGCCCCGAAGCAAAGTAACACACGGCAGCCCGATCACATGTCCCGTCAAGGTCCTGTGGTTAGGCCATTAGGTGCCGATCACACGGCTATCCTGCAGCACGGCAAAGAAGTGGCGCAGCGCAATCACACTGGCAATCGCTAGGCGCCGCTTCCATAGCAAACGGGATTTTTTTTCTCACTGAAGTTTGTGCATGCGCATGATTGTGCGCATCCTGTGGAGAATTACAAAAAAAAAATCCGGTGTGCGACGGGACATGGACAGGCGCTGGATACCACAGGATTCCAGCGGAAACACGATCAGACGCCCGCCCTTTCCCCACATTTTCTGGAAACTAGTACATCGTATGTGGTAGTTTTTTACTCCGCGTCTTTGGCAAGAAGCCACGGGTTAGCCACAGGTGTACTACGCTTCCCAAATGTTGTGGTGTGATCGCACACTGAAAATCCGCCTATCATCCGTGTCTTTAGCGTGGCAACTTCTCTGTGTGGCCAGTGTAGATATTCTCTAGAGCCAGTTTGGTGGCTCTACCGAAGATAGACATAGAGAGCCAGTTGGTGTAGTGGTTAAAGTGCGCAGACTCTAATCTGGGAGAACCGGGCTTGATTCCCCACTCCTCCACTTGCAGCTGCTGGATGACCTTGGGCAAGCCATTGTTCTGTCAGAGCTGTCCTTGGAAAGGGCAAGTCTCTCAGAGCTCTCTCAGCCTCACCTACCTCACAGGGTGTCTGCTGTGGGGAGGGGAAAGGAAAGGAGTTTGTAGGCTGCTCTGAGACTCTGAGTGAAGGGCGGGGTATAAATCCAATCACTTCTTCTTATACCCTTACAGTACAAGGGTCCCAACTTGGATGGGTCAGACTACAGTATCCGGGTCCCAACTTGGATGGCCCAGACTAGACTGATCCTTTTAATTTACTTGTTAAAATTATTTTCATTTTGAACGGGGTCAATATGATCTCTGTAAATGACCTTAAGCCCAGTTTTGTCCACACTAACCAGGACCATGTGGGAAGGGGAGGGACGCAACTATTAAGCTCTACTCACCTATCAGCTATCAGTGTCCAATTCTGATATATTTCCTTCACTATCTTTCCCCCTGGAATTAAACCCAAACAAACAGTGACCATATAAACTAAGCTTGTTATTCCAGTTTAGTCCGTGTATCTGTTTAAACACCTTCCTTATTCTGTATGCTAATTTGCAGCTCCCCCTCTACCTATATGTATGGACTGGAAGCTTCCATTTCAATGTATCTGAAGAAGTGTGCATGTGCCCCCAAGAGCTTCTACCTTGAATAAAACTTTGTTGGTCTGAAAGGTAAAGGTTCCCTTGCTCGAAAGCCAGTCGAATCCGACTCTAGGG